CAGAAGGCCTCCCGCCTTCCAAGGGTGCCACTAGCGTGCTCAGCTCGCTGCCTGAAATGCCTGTACACCAATGCATGCAGCATGGGGAATAAACAGGAGGAGTTAGAAGTCTGTGTGCGGTCTAAAGGTTATGACCTGGTGGCAATTACAGAGACATGGTGGGACAGCTCCCATGACTGGAATGTGGTTATGGATGGCTATGTCCTTTTTAGGAAAGATAGATCAGCAAAGCGAGGTGGTGGAGTCGCTCTGTATGTGAAAGAGCGACTAGAATGTATTGAGTTCTGTCCAGGGGCAGATGAGGACCAAGTGGAAAGTCTGTGGGTGCAAATTAAGGGACAGGCTGGTACGGGTGGCACAGTTGTGGGGGTCTATTATAGACCTCCTGATCAGGACGAAGGAGTTGATGAGGCTTTCTACAGGCAATTGAAAGCAGCCTCACGACTACATGCCTTGGTCCTTATGGGGGATTTTAACTACCCCGATATTTGCTGGAAGACTTACACAGCCAGTCATTCACAGTCTAGGAGGTTCCTCCAGTGCATTGATGATAACTTCTTAATGCAAATGGTGGACGAACCAACTAGGAGAGGAGCGCTGCTGGATCTGGTACTCACCAAAAAGGAGGGTCTAGTTGAAGCAGTGACTGTCAATGGCAGCCTGGGCTGCAGTGACCATGAGATGGTGGAGTTTAGGATCTTGTGTGGGAGGAATAGAATACCTAGCAAGGCCACATTTCTGGATTTCCGAAGGGCAAACTTTGGCCTCTTCAATCAATTGCTAAGAGAAGTATCATGGCAAAGGGTACTAGGTGGTAAAGGGGCTCAAGATAGTTGGCCAGCATTCAAGGATCACTTCTTCAAAGCTCAGGATCAGAGTGTCCCCATGAGTAGGAAGTCAAGTAGGGGAGCCAGGAGACCAGCATGGTTAAACAAGGAACTGCTGGGCAAACTCGTACAGAAAAAGAGAATCTATGGATTATGGAAGGAGGGGCTGGCCACTTGGGAGGAATATAGGACAGCTGTTAGAGGATGTAGGGAAGCAATTAGGATAGCTAAGGCCTCCTTGGAACTTAATCTGGCAAGTCGGGTCAAGGACAATAGAAAGGGCTTCTTCAAATACATAGCAAATAAAACTAACACAAGAAGCAGTATAGGCCCACTGTTGAATGAGGTGGGTGCCTTGGAGACAGAGGATATAAAGAAGGCAGAGGTGTTGAATGCCTTCTTTGCCTCTGTCTTTACTCCTGCAGACTCTCCCTGGGGGACCCAGATTCCTATAGCCCCGGAAGGAGTCAGGATAAAGGAGGAGTTTGCTTTGGTAGATGAGGATTGGGTTAGGGATCAGTTAAGTAATCTGGTCATCTATAAATCGATGGGTCCGGATGGAATACACCCGCGGGTGCTGAGGGAGCTGGCGGAGGTCATTGCTGAGCCACTCTCCACCATCTTTGGTAAGTCGTGGGAAACAGGTGAGGTGCCTGAGGATTGGAGGATGGCAAATGTCACGCCAGTCTATAAGAAGGGAAAGAAGGAGGACCCAGGTAATTACAGACCAGTCAGCCTTACCTCCATCCCTGGAAAGGTGATGGAACAACTTATTCTTGACACCATCTCTAGACATATCAAGGATGAGGGGGTCATTAAGAACAGCCAACATGGCTTTACCACGGGGAAGTCATGTTTGACCAACCTTATAGCCTTCTATGAGCAAGTAACTAGGTGGATGGATGATGGTAGAGCGGTAGATGTGGTTTTTCTTGATTTCAGTAAGGCATTTGATACTGTCTCCCACAGCATCCTCATAGATAAGCTAAGGAAGTGTGGGCTTGAAGATCAAGTAGTGAGGTGGATCAAGAACTGGTTGGAAGAAAGAAGGCAGAGAGTTGTGGTCAATGGGGCAGAATGTAGCTGGAGGTCTGTGACTAGTGGAGTCTCTCAGGGGTCGGTGCTGGGACCAGTGCTGTTTAATATTTTCATCAACGACCTGGATGAGGGAACTGAATGTACCCTCAGCAAGTTTGCTGATGGTACTAAACTGGGAGGAGTGGCTGACACACCAGAGGGCTGTGTTGCCATTCAGTGAGACCTGGACAGGCTGGAGAGTTGGGCGGAGAGGAACTTGATGAAATTCAACAAGGGCAAGTGTCGAGTCTTGCATCTGGGGAAGAACAACCCCATGTACCAGTACAGGTTGGGGGCTGAGCTGCTGGACAGTAGTGAAGGGGAAAGGGACCTGGGGGTCCTGGTGGATAGGAGGATGACCATGAGCCAGCAATGTGCCCTTGTGGCCAAGAAGGCCAATGGCATCCTAGGGTGCATTAGAAAGGGTGTGGTTAGTAGGTCAAGAGAGGTTCTCCTCCCCCTCTACTCTGCCTTAGTGAGGCCGCATCTGGAATATTGTGTCCAGTTCTGGGCCCCACAGTTCAAGAAGGACAGGGAATTGCTTGAAAGAGTCCAGCGGAAAGCTACAAAGATGATTAAGGGGATGGAACATCTCTCTTATGAGGAGAGGCTGAGGGAGCTGGGACTCTAGCTTGGAGAAGAGGAGACTGAGGGGTGACCTCATCAATGTTTACAAATATGTAAAGGGTGAGTGTCAGGATGATGGAGCTAGGTTTTTTTCAGTGATGTCCAGTGATAGGACAAGGGGCAATGGGTGTAAACTGGAGCATAGGAGGTTCCATGTGAACATCAGGAAAAATTTCTTTACTGTGAGAGTGACAGATCACTGCAACAGGTTGCCCAGGGGGGTTGTGGAGTCTCCTACGTTGGAGATATTCAAGGCCCGCCTGGACAAGTTCCTGTGTGATGTACTCTAGATTACCCTGCTCTTGCAGGAGGGTTGGACTAGATGATCTTTTGAGGTCCCTTCCAACCCTTAGGATTCTGTGATTCTGTGTAATTAATTTTCACACTGACACAGTTCAAGCTGTCACAATGCTGCCATTTGTCTATCAGTAATATTCACTCCCTACGTATTTTGGCTTATCATAAGAGGCACATTCTTTGTTTCTTATTGGCTTGGTGTTTACTTGTAGGGCTCAGTGAAAAGAATAGAGAACATCTACTTTGGTAGAGGAGATGATAATAGGCGTAGAAATCACAAAGGTATTGTGAAAAAAAGAAAATTTTAGCCCTTCCTTTAGAGAAGTGGTAAAATCTATTTTACACTAAGTTTTGACATTTTCTTGCATTCTAAAAGCATTCTTAAAATTCTTAAACAGACTCTCCAAGAATTCCAGATTTTTCTTACACTGTTCTGATATAAAAAATGATTTGTCAAATCTTATTTTTACTTCATTATTTCTGAAAACAAGCTGTTCACCCACAACAGGACACAGCAGACCAAATCAAGGTTTGAAAAAATGAACTGTTTCCCAGGCTGCTTGAAGAGGTAAATACTTCTTAAGTACTACTTCTCTGTCTGCACTCCATCCTGCCCCTGTTTTGCTATATCTCTTTGTCCTGCATATGGCTCTCATGCTTATTTCAGAGGTGTTTTTTCTATACATGTCATGGCACTGTAAACTGGCAATTGTTTCGCTTGTGGGCATGGTGATTGTCCTGGGTTCAGCAGTAGCAGTCATTTTTCCCCTTCTTGGTAGCTGGTGCAGTGCTGTGTTTTGACTTTCAGCTTGGGAACAGAGCTGATAGTGATGTTTAGGTTTGGCCAAGGACTTTGTGAGCCTCATGCTCTGCCAGGGAGGAGGGGAAGCCAGGAGGAAGTAGAGACAGGACACCTGACCCAAACTGACCAAAGAGGTATTCCATACCACAGCACGTCATGCCCAGGATGTAACTGGGAGTTAGCCGGAAGGGCTGAGAGACTGCAGGGTTGGAGGAGGTATCGGTCAGAGCTTGGTCGGGCTTGGGGGGCGAGTTATCGGTCGGCTGGTGGTGAGATGTTGTATTCTCTTCCCTTGTTATTTCCTTTATCATTATTATCATTGGTGGTAGCAGTAGTGATCTGTGTTATACCTTAGTTACTAAACTGTTCTTATCTCAACCTGTGGGAGTTGCATTCTTTTCGATTTTCCTCTCCGTCCCTCCGAGAGCAGGGGGAGGGCAAGAAAAGGGGGGGAAGTGAGCGAACGAATTACCTGACTGGGTTTAAACCACGACAGTTCTTTTTGGCGCCCAACGTGGGGCCCGAAGGGTTGAGATAACGACAGATCTGACTGGATTAATAGTCACTGGTCACAATGCTGATTTATTGGCTCTCAGAGTTGTTTCGCTTGATCTCACAGCTTCAGACCGTTGTAACTTACGTAGAGCCGGTATTTGCTGTGTTAGTGTTTATCAAGTATGGGGCCTGGGCTAAGGTTCTTGTCTCACTGTGCTTTATGGCAATGGCTTGTAATACGGGCGGGCTCCAGCAGCAGGGCGGGACGGAGGTGGCCGTGGACTTGTACCTGGCCGTCCGGCTGCTCTTCACCGTCCTGGCCCTCACCCTACTCTCCATCTTCGTGAGGCTGCGGGGAGCTGAGGGGGAGCGGCCCCGGGAGCCGGCGGCAGCCGAACCGGCTCGGGAAAGCGGCCCCGGCGACCAAGCGGCGGCGGGAGCGGGGCCGGAGGCCGCGAGGGGACGGCTGCCGGTGGAGGAGGTCGGGGCGGTCGAAGAGCAGAAGGAGGCGGCTGCCGAGCAGCGGGAGAAGGCGGCGGAGGAGCCGAGCCCCGCGGAAGAGCCGAGCCTCGCGGCCGAGCCGAGCCCCGCGGAGGAGCCGAGCCCCGCGGCCGAGCCCAGCCCCGCGACGGCCGAGAGCGTTTCCCGGAAGCCGCCCGCCGAGCCCCAGGAGGACGCAGGAGACCACGCAGCATTTCCCAGCAAGGCAGAGGAGGAAGAGCTGGACTCAGGAAAAGAGAAGCTGGCGGTGGGAGAGCCGGCAAGCACAGCAGCTACACCAGCCCCAGTGACAAGTACAGCAGCATCGTGTGAGAGTTCTGAAGGTTTTGAATGGCCTTCGGGTGTCCTTGGGACCTGCCTGCTGATTGTGATGGGGATCAGCATGTTGGCACACACACAGGCTGTGTTCTACCCACGACCATTTTGTCTGATCTCAAAAGTTAAGCAGAGTCAGGTTTGGGTCTTGTCTGGGGTTAGACGAGGATATGGGGGGACCAAGAGGTTTTCCCCAAGGCTGGACAGCCAGGAGTGGCAGGGTGTGTGGGACAGTATGGGCAAGTATCTAGTCCACTGGGCCCCTCCAGTGCTTTGGAAGCATTGGAGATGGAAGGCAGCTGTATGGAGTCCCCAGCAACAAGCTGCAGAAACTGCTGAAGGGGACAGTGAATTATTTTGAGCCTGGTGGGCCCAATGCACTTCAGGCCATCAGAGCAGAGATGCAACACAGAGATGGACTCATGATCGAGGGGTGGATTTAGCAATGGACACTGTTGCCCTAGTTATTCACGAGTGTGAACACTGCACACAGTCTCTCCTGCTCTGGAAGACTGTTACAAGAGATGGAGCCTGACATCATGGACCAGATGGACTCAGCAGCTTTATAGGGACTGGTCCATGCACTAAGATAAGAGTGCACTGAGATAAGAGTGATGGTATATTGAAAATGTGGGATCTGGGCATGACGTGAATGGTATGGAATAAGGGGTGGATAATGTCCTGGGTTCAGCAGTAGCAGTCATTTTTCCCCTTCTTGGTAGCTGGTGCAGTGCTGTGTTTTGACTTTCAGCTTGGGAACAGAGCTGATAGTGATGTTTAGGTTTGGCCAAGGACTTTGTGAGCCTCATGCTCTGCCAGGGAGGAGGGGAAGCCAGGAGGAAGTAGAGACAGGACACCTGACCCAAACTGACCAAAGAGGTATTCCATACCACAGCACGTCATGCCCAGGATGTAACTGGGAGTGAGCCGGAAGGGCTGAGAGACTGCAGGGTTGGAGGAGGTATCGGTCAGAGCTTGGTCGGGCTTGGGGGGCGAGTTATCGGTCGGCTGGTGGTGAGATGTTGTATTCTCTTCCCTTGTTATTTCCTTTATCATTATTATCATTGGTGGTAGCAGTAGTGATTTGTGTTATACCTTAGTTACTAAACTGTTCTTATCTCAACCTGTGGGAGTTGCATTCTTTTCGATTTTCCTCTCCGTCCATCCGAGAGCAGGGGGAGGGCAAGAAAAGGGGGGGAAGTGAGCGAACGAATTACCTGACTGGGTTTAAACCACGACAGTGATGTTGTGTTTAAACACCCAGGAAGTCATGGCACCTTTGTTACTAGCAGCTGCACTTGCACATGAAGGTATTTGTAATGGCAGATATCCACTTAACTTCAATCCTATCATAGAATCATAGAATCAACTAGGTTGGAAAAGACAGTAAAGATCATCAAGTCCAGCCATTACCCCAGGACTACCAACATGAGCTCTTGGCCCTTGGTTGAGTTTATACATAACTCTGATGCAATATAAGTAAGATCTGGATTAAAAAATAATAAGTCATTCAAACCTAAACTCTGCATGCTGTGCCCAGTTGTTTACTGTATCTACCATATATGTGGGAATCTATTTGAAGTCTCTTAACAGGCAGCAAGTTTCATATTTTGGCAATGAGACTGGACACGGAGATTACATAGTCAGACTTCAGTTATCTAAATTGGTTTTATTCTCCAGGGGATTTGGCTTGGGTTTGTTCTGCCACTGGCTGCTTCACTGAAAAACCAAAATAAGAAACTAGTTTTTTTTTCTGTTTAAGTAGAAGTGCCAGCAGGTACTTCTTTTGTCAGCAGGCATGTAGCCTGTTCCCCCTGTTCTTCCTTATCAATATGAATAGTTTCTGTTCTACTTTTAATCATCTTCCCTCTCTGCAACATCTTGGAAAAAAAGAAATGTTCTGAGAATTTTATTTGCAAAATATTCTTCCCTATTTTTAAACTCACATTTATGTTTTTATTCTTACTCCTTTGTAATCTAAACATATCTTTAAACAAAAAAAACAAAGATTACAGCTTTCTATTTTATTTTTTTAAATTAAAGTTTACACAAGACATTTGTGAAACAATAATTTATTTAACAGGAAAGCCAGAAAAAAAAAATATTCTATATTCTATTCTATATTCTGTTCTTTCACAAGTCTCTAACTTGCACCCATAGAATGATTGACTGTTATCCTGTTACCACTGGTGAACTTGATCATCCCCACGTGTCTTTAAAACCCAAGAGAAAAAGCAGACCTATTAATTTATTGCTTTCTTCAGTTCTTGATTATGTTAATTGGAATTACATCTATAAAAAAAACCCAAACAGATGATGAATAAACTAGCCCAGGCGTATTTTTTTCTTCTGTGATTAAAACTGAAAAAGGAATATATGTTGTCAATGAAACTTTGCAATGTGTTTTAGTCCATTCATTCCTGGAAGGAGTAAAAAGTCCTTTATAAACAGTGAACAATGGAGGTGTTCTGAACATATGAACATTGGCAAATTACATAGTTTTCCATTTCTATAAAATACACTAAAATTCTGTACTTGGTCTAACAACAATACCTTCAAAATCAACATGCTGTGAAATTTGGGTTTCAAGCTTCAGGCCCTTTCTGCTGAAGGGGGGGTATTACCATTAATCATGATAGGGCCACAGATATGTTATTGTTAGAAACTGATTGTAAGTTCCACAGCAATTTGAATGTGACACTGTATTTAAAGCTTTTCTTTAAATTTGAATTCTCTTTTATTACTTTATATATATATATAGTATGATGCCCTATGTGTGGCCTGAAGACTAGATACTTCTTTATAAAGGAATGAATTTAGATGTCGGTTATCCCCGACATCTCTTGCCTCATGATCCTCCAGATTGGGTTGCAAGCTGAACAAACTATTCTGCTAGATCACAGCCTATGGCCTGAAGTTTTGTGATTCCCACTCAGTATGTGACAGAAAATATAGCTATCTCATCAGTGAGTGCTGCCACTGCACTATGGTGGGACCACATATTGCCTTTTTACTTGCTTTTATTTCTCTTCTTTTTCACCTTTCTAACTTAGCCTCCTTGGACACACATAGAAGATCACCCATTTTTACTAGATAGTGAAGTTGAAGGAGCCTATAATTACAAAAGTTTATAGCAGTGAGTAGATTAAGCTGGTCTGTGTTTTGAAAGAGAATTATGATGTTGTGCGCCCATAGGATCTGCATGATTAGCTGTCTTAGATTATCCTAATCATAATGGTGACTTTTAGAGTAAGTAGTGATTATGGTGGGTAAGGATTGACTAGAAAATTAATTATCCTTAAATTTCTAATTCTTACATAACTTGCTACTTCCATCTGTAGATAGCACTGCTTGTTGGAGAAAGAATTGAAGAAATAATCTCAGAATTAACATTTTAGAATCTGGAAGACTATTCATGGTGAACAGTCTTAATGAGAAACTTTTCTGGGCTAACCACTGATTTTGAAATGTTATTGACTGTGAAGTGCCCTGTTCCTGAGATTTAGAAAGAAGTATTCACTTTTTTCTGGCTTTAGGTAACAGTTAGGAAAGAGTTAAGTTTCTTTCTCAAAGCACACTCCTGGTGTTTGAAAAATTAAATAACTATTTTTTTTTTCTGATGGAAATATTTTTAGCTTTGAGGTGTAGTACATATCCTGCAATAGATTTATTTAGCTTTTTGAAGGTGGCAAGACACAGTTGCACACCAGAAAGGTGTTAAAATATAATAGTATAGAAAAATGAAAAAAGAAAAAAGCTTCTTTGAATAGTGTCAAACTCTTTTAAAACCACCTTGTGCTTCATCAAAGTCTTTGTTTCGCCTTGACACTTTTTGAGGTATCATTTCTTGCTGTTAATTGCCAGTGAAAAGCATGCTGGCAGTGTGAAGCTTCAGAAATTGCAGAGCATCTCTCCTTTTGTGTTAGTTGCTGCTTGCATATACTATCATATATACCCCATATAGCTTTTTTTTTTTTTCTGCTGTGTACTACAGGGAAATTTCAATACAGCATTAAAAATTGGCTTGTTTTTCAGTTTGTATTTTTGATTGAAACTACAAAGTTCTCTCTTGCTTTGCTTATGGAGATGCATAGGAGGAATCCCTAATGTGTAATCAGTATGAGACTAAAACTCTTACAAACACAGAACACTTGGGCATCTGTAGTAATGATAATAGTCATTAAAGTTTATATTTGTGTCTAAAGGGTATTTATATATTCTGCTTGAAGTAGTTAACTAAATCTCTGTACAATTTGGTTTGGCTTTGTACAAAAGTATAAGTGAAATATAGCTACCCCAAGGTTACTGAGAAATTACTCTTGAATGAGATAATTTTATTTTCTCCCTTGGTCTTTCTATGCTTTAATAAATGGGGACACAAAATGGAGTTAAAACATTAACAGAAAGCTTAAGAAATTACTGCAGTAACAGGCTAATATCAATTTGAAGTAAAATAATGGCCCTCAGCCACTAGGCATATTCTAAATATTATCTTCTGTTTTAAGACAGATTCCAACACAGTTTTCAAGTTCCAGTTACTTTTTCAGCTTTTCTTAAAAACAAACAAAAAAAAAGAGGGAAAGAAGTTGTTTCATCTTCAACAACACTGCAATATTGTCGGAAGTTTTTGTGGTCTACATACATTTGTGGCCACATCTGAATAGTCTCCAACAAATCAGTTTCCTTAGCTTCCAGTTTCCTTTCTAAACTAAGTGATAGTATTTTAGAGGCTGATTGGCATTCATATAATTAGATCCTGGAAACTACTTTTCTAGAAATGGTGAACAACACTCTGCTATGTAGTAATTATAATTGTTATCACTACAGAAAAGCTGATACAACACACTGCCAAACTGGATGATAGCTATTTTTTCATCCACTTGGCAACTATTTTTCCTTTGTGGAAATGTTATGCAAAATGCTGGGCATTTTGTGAAAAGTGAAGAGTAAACCCTACTAGGTTTCACCTAATTCAGATTAATTTTTGGATGGGGAGGGTTAGCTAGAACATGCGTAAGTTCTAATCAGGTTTGTTCTAAGATTAAAACGTTCATGAAACAGATTGACTAGCAATTAACTGCATTAATTGTCAGCTGAATTCCTAAAAGTGGAAAAATACAGGATGCATTAACCTAGAATTTAATTAAAAGACATTTTTTTTAGAACCTGCTTATCCTGGTTGTCTAAGCTGAGTGAGCTGAAATATCATTTAAAACACACTGTAAAATTCTGTGTTTAAATGTATCTTTACTTCCTGGATAAGACAGAAGCAGTAGTCAAAATATATAGCAGAATCTTCGTTGTGTTAAAACACAAGGTTAGGAAAGAAGATGAAAAAATATTTTCCTGCTGTAGGATATCATCTCTATCAGTCACAGTGCCAGTTTTCAGGAGATGGATTTAAGGGAAACTGTTTTGGGACACTTCCTCTCC